GGCAAGGTGAGGGGCTGCTGCGTGCCCCCCCCCCTTAACGCTAATTTTCAGCACGTTGCCTAGGGATTGGAGGCACGGCTATCTGAAGTGGATATCCTGAGTGCCTGCACCCCAGGTAGCTGTTTGGAAGTAGATGACGAAGTCGTCCGGTTGTAGCCCAGGAGACCTCTGTTGGGGCTATTCCAAGCCACTGGGTTTCTGAGGTAATAACTTGTTAAAATGAACGGGCAGCAGTTGTTTTTCCAGCAATTGTTTTCCAGTGTTCATTTCAGGATATCTGTATGCACACATTGGCTCTACTTAAGATGCCCGTGAAATAGCAAAGGCATGCAGGTGCCATTGGAACGAGGGCAGCTTTTACACTAAACCAGAAACAAACGTACATATATTCCAAAATTGCATCACATTGAGTGACATACTGTCCAGCAAGATCCTATTTTATGTAAGCTGAAGAGCTGTCCTAGGGTCCTTGCCCTGTAGTCTTGTTCCATGTGATTTTTATCTGCTGTGTTATTTTGTGGACGGAGGGGTGTTTCCTTTTGTCATTTCCAAAAAGAGTTTTATGTTGATGTAGTCTCATATTTCTAGTTTCTCAAGTGCCTTTGATATTTCTCTTTCTTTATCGTCTTCTTCCTGGATAAGCCTGTAGATTTCATTAACGCATTTCACTTCTGCGTTGGTAAGGATAGTTTAAATACTACCACACTCAACATCAGTCCTTAGCATATGTATCTGAACACAACTTTTTACGTTATCTTTCTTCTAATAGCCATTTTTGTAGTGGAGAAGTACTTGTGCATCTGAAAGCTTCTTCACTTTCAAATAGCAAGGAAAAAAATCCTTTCCTTGTAACCCTCACTTCCCTTATCTCCTTTAGATCATCAAGATGGCACTGACATTTCGTGCTAGAAAATGCTGTGTGGAAAACAAGGCACTACAGCAAGTAAGTTCACTGCTTTTTTTATGCATTTTCATCATTCAATGCATTTTGATCAGATTCTTTTTGGTAATATTTTTTCCATTATATTGCTAGTATAAGAAGCCTGCTAGCAAAGGCAGTTTTCTCTATTTCACACTTCAACATTTTTGAACAAGTAGACAACTTCTTACTTCAAGAAACCCCAAAATATCTTGGAGAAAATTTTAATTACATTTTTCAGGCTTTGACTGTATATAGATCTGGGCACACTTACAGTGGTTCAGATAGTCATATCAAGTATTGTAACATACCAACTTGTTAATTAAAGATTTCTGTAAACTTCCTTTTTTGTTTTCTTGAGACTTTCAGGTATTATGGCCAGTAATTGTCACAAGTATTCATTTTTTACTTTTTAACCAATGCCATACTTGTTATTCTTCTAATTTGTCAAATATTTCACCAAACGTTGTGACTTCTGAAGGGAATTGAATGTCTAATTCTCATACGGTCCTAAGATTCATACAATACTTTGGCACAATGAGCATATTCTTATACTATTTGTATAGTTCTTTCTCAGCTGTTAATTGATAGTTATTTTAATTTCTCTTCTTGTTTTCCCCTTACTTTTAAGTAAAGACTTACTTTTTTAAAGTAAAAAATCAAGGTGTTAACATTACTGTTAAAAGGTCTTAATTTTCATGGTGGTGCATGTTTTTTGTTGTATATTTATTAAAAACATTCTGCTTACCTTTTGGTTAGTTTGGTTCCCGATCCCTACATTACTTCTTTAAAATGCCAGGCAGGTACAGGCATCTGTGAATCTTGGAGCAGGATTATGACCTCATTCTGATTATGACCTCATTTTGATATTTTTGCTCATCTTCTCCATGTACTCTGCTTTCTTATTTGTCTCTGCTCTTTCTTCGGTGCAGATTTGTTATCACTGCTAATCTTTTAGAGGTCCCTTAGGACTCACACCAGTTTCTTCTGTTCTTCTTTCTCAGAGGAAACGTAGTCTGTGGGCTTTAGTTATGGTATATTTTAAGATTCTCGACCGAAGAGTCTTAATAGAGTCTTCCACACAGTTTGTACAGAGAATGACACAGGTGTGGCACAGGAAGCCTTAAATGAGCTAAAAGAAGAACTTTAAAATTAGAATAAGTGGTGCAAACTCAAAACAATGTTAGAAGGGTAAATGATTTCCTGTTGTAGTTATTGTCAGTACAGGTTCTGTGCTGTGCATGATGCAGGGACTGTTTACATGTTTTTAGTAGTGGTGTATGTGTGAAGTTTGGTAGTCTTAATAACACAGAAGATCAGCTAACCTAGAGAGCGGACATTGAGAAGGTGTTAAACTTGGGGGAAGGGGGTCCAGAGAAAAGTAAAATAGAGAGTTAGACCCATTAATCCAACCACTCAATTTGGCTCCAGGCTAAGAGGCCAATATTAACATTTTCAGAAGGATGAAAGATGTGAGAGTGGTTCGGGTCGGGGTGGAGGAGGGGGCAAATAAAACACAACTGAAAGGAGTGGGAGGAGAACTGTATCCTTCAGTATATCCAAGGGGTTGGGTTTTTTGCATGTGTCAAATCCAAGGCAAAATGTATTTATGGAAAGTTATATGCTAAAAGAAAAATGTTTACGCAACAAAATTAGGAGATGCCCAAAGGTTGAAAAGTAATTGCATTAAATAATCTTTCTTAAAGCTGCAAACATCATGCTTTATTGATGAGTGAGCTGGAAATCTGTGTTTCACAGCTGCAAGCAAAATGCTGTATTTTTGTCTTAGAACTTTTCTGTTCCAGTGTTGTCCACACAGTTCTGCAACTGGCTGATCTTTAATTAAATACTGATTCGTTACTCAGAAATAATATTTTGTAGCGTGTATTTTATATACACTGTCTCCAAGAACGTTTCTGTACCTGTAGCTATCCTGGAACACCTCTTTGATGCTCCTTAACACTTGGAGTATCTTCATAGTGATCTTTTCGCACGGTTACTATTCTCTTTGGGTTCAAACGATTCATAAAGAAATTATATGTACCGCAAACCTTCTCAGAATAGGAGAAAATTAAATCTTGAAGTAAAAAAACGAGCCAAGTAATATTTTATTGAGTAGCTAATTAATTTTGACCTTGTTACACATTTTCTTTTGCGCTTTTTCCTGCTTATGAGGTAATAATCACATAAAATCGACTTTGTATGAACAGGAACTGCCTCTGTACTCACTGGGGGCTTTTGGAAAAAAAATACATTAGCCAATAATCTCCATGCATGGAGTCTGAGGCAGAAAATTCCACAAGCTAATTCAGAATTCAAGGTGTGGCTTATTAGTTAAATCTATTTTCAGAATGTTTTTGTTGAATGTAATTCAGTATTGCACGTTATAATACCTGACATGGTCTAGTCCATTTTTGCCAGCCTATCTTTAAAAGAATTTTATGTCATTGGTCAACATTTATCTTTGACATGAAGATATTGGTTCAACATTCCCTCTATAATTAAAAAGTATATTTAATTTAAGTGTCAGGGAACTGCCATTACATTTTTCTGAAGTAGTTACTGAGCCCTAAAAAGAGAGTTTGAGGCTGTGCCACTGGTGCTACTCAGAAGAAAAAAGAGGAAGAAAGTCATTCTTCTACAAGAACCAGCAATATGAAAGAGATTAGGAAACTGGGCACTATTTTGTTTGGACACAGTTTGATTGAATAAGATAAAGGTTGTTTAAGATGCTGCATTGCTAAACTACTTAAGAGTATGTGATTGTCCTTGTTCCCTGAGCCTTTAGGGTACTATCAAATCATATTTTTGGACCTTCCTGCCCTGAAAGAAAGGAGAAAACAACATACAAATCCAAGACTCTTCAATAGTCATTTGTCTTCAGCAGCAGTGGTTTTCACTGAGCACCAGTTAGGACAGTCCTCTTTATACTACTGCAAGAAGTAGCCAATAAGGAAGACAGAGTGGTACAAAGGAAGACCATAACGGAGTGAAAGAACCAGAGGAAAGATAAAATAAAATGGTATTTTTATTTACAACATAGGAATCACTTGTTACTAGGGAGGCTGAAATGAAGCCCTAGCAATATTTTAGTCCAAGATCCTTTCTCTTGTTTGTTTTTGCTCATCTGTCTTATCACAAAAGGTTTCAAAACAAAAGCAGAGCAAGTGAAGAATCTTTCCAGCTTTAAGCTAAGTAAGGACACATTCTTTCATGGATAACCTTACTTAGCTGTGTTCCACTCCTCCAGCTTCCTCTACCATGAGTAGAGCCCACAACTTTTTAAAAAAAAATACTCTAGCAAAATTTTCCTTTATATAGCCTCTAGCAAGCAGTCACAGGATGCTTAGTCATCTGATTGCTCTCTCGTTCCCACATCCTGTATAGAGCCTAACATTTATACACATGTTCATGTCCATTTTCTTCTTCAAAATAGGATAGTGGAGCATTTTTCTAAAGCCTCCTTCAGGCAGCCATGTGATGTGCAGTCAGCTAGTTTCTCACTCCTTTATGCATCCTATCTGGAGCTCTGCATTTAAAAGGTATTTTGCTCTTACTAGCCTTTCTGGCTATGCTTCTGCTTATAGATATGCTGCAGCTCTACTTTGAATGCTGGGGCTATGAGGAAGGGCTAAGCAAGAAAAGGAGATACCAAGAACAGAATAAGGAGGAATAGAATTCGGGAAGAGGGAGGATATAGAATAGCAATGACAAAAGTAAAGGTGCAAAGGAAGCATGACATAATGGAACAAGTGTTAATACGGACAGTAAGAAGAAGAGGAAGGAAAAAGAAAATTATGACATTGGAAGGCATGAATAAAAAAAAGACCAAAATTTAAACCTGTCTGAAAGACAGTGTCTCTTGTTTCTTGTCTTAAAAGCTCTAAGTTAAGCCTCAGAAGCAGTGAGAGTGGTAAGATCAGTTGCTTTATTTTAGCTAGGTTAAAAAAACTGCACAAAACGTAGGAGACTGCAGGAGAGTTTAGGTAAAGGGGTGTGACAGTTTTCTAGGGGGTAGCCTGCTGAGCTACTTTCTCGTGAGCTAAGGCTCTAAACTTTCAAGCATTTCTGTAGAAGTTTCTTCTCCCTCTTCCTCATCTGAATACGCTGTAGACACACTTTCACAGAACATAAACAGCACTATTTTTTAATTCTTCTTTCTTTGGGCACAGGAGCAAACACAAAATATTTCGCTCTTACTTATTCATCGTATGTTATCCTGACTATAAATTATTTCCTAGTGGTTTTTCTAGTGTTAAAACATTCAACAGGGTGCCAAAAGCAATTTCACTGAAGTCATCTAGAGTTTCACCCTGAGAGTAAAAAACACTGATTTTCTTTCTTGTCCAAACCTATTGATGATTATGGGCCTGCAAAAAGATCTGAGTGTGCACGCCTGTGTTTGTCGTTTGGGAACGAGGGAAAGGATGGGGGTTGCATAAATCTTGCAAGTGAATAATTTTCCTCCTGAATAATCCAGTTTCCAGTCCAATAATCTACTTCTCTGGAAGAACAATGCAACCAAAATCCTTTCCTATTTTAGGCTGTTCTGTTTTTAAAATTAGTTCTTAGAATCACAAAACAGCAAAAGTATGAGAACCTTCTGTACTTTTTTGAAATGCTGTCTTCATCTGGGCACTATACCTAACATAAAGTTTAGTGAAGATCTTTTTTTGTCTTGCATCAGTCTTGCACAATCCTTTCAGATTTGCAAGTCTGGTTTATTGCTTTCTCTTAGGATATAGGCCAATGAGAGTGGATGTCTGCAGCAGGAAAGGAAGAGAATGCGAGAGAGCACTGTTCCGTTAAAAAGCCCATTCCTCAGCTTTACTTAAACCATCTCTATGACTAAATTGAATTTTGTAGATGAAAACTAACATGAAGCAAAAACAAGACAAAACAATAGTATTCAGTTAATATAAAATTATGACTTACATAATGATTAAGATTACTTAATGTATACTCTGTCTCATTAAGAGTTGAAATAACATGCAATACCTCAGATAATGCAATATAAAAACATT